TCCCTCACTACCAATGCAGCGCAGCTTAAATAGAGTATCCCTGATTTGACTCAGTAAAAGTTAAGTTGCAGCATTCAGTTTTCCATCAGACTGCTCGTCATCATGTGAAATGCTGACCATTTTCCTAATACCGGTAATTAAATGTGTAAAACCTAAAAAGTCAATAATTTTCAGTTACTGATTTTTCTAAATTAACACCTCTTCTTATGATGTTTAGGGGTGTAATGTTATTTATGAAGGGGGACTATGTTCAGATTAATCTACTTTCTGTTTTGTTTTCTTTTTTAAGAATTGTAGCAAGAAATCCTAAGCAGCTATTAACCTGGTATCAGTCCGATTGATTTCGGAAGCCATCATTTATTTATGTGGGTAGAAATTTGCATCTTTGAGACAACAACAAGAGTAAAAGGAAATATACACTATTGTTTTGTGAATAAGAAAAAAAAGGAAGTTATATATTTAATGTTGAATAATAGTCCTTATTTAAAAACAGAGAAGCTGCCAAATAATCTTACATTTAAATACCACAATATTTGACAGAGTTCATTTTTTTTCTTGTCCCTGATTACTCAGTTAGTGAAATTAGAGCCGTCTGCCTGTCTGGTGCATTTAAGCAGTAAACTGTATGGTAGCTACTAAGGAACCAGCAATTGAGAAGTTGTTAAACTAATCAAAAAAATGAACACTTTTTAGTTAGCAACAATCACTGATCACTTGATAAGTTATACAAACGTTTAGTGGCCAGTTAGTTTGTACTTCATGAATATGTGATATGGGCTGCGTCAGAACCTCCGCCCTAATCATTAAATTCCTCAATCACTATATAGAGCGGGGACTATATAGTGGACTTTATAGAGAACTTAGTCAACTGAGCATTCGGACAGATGATCACTACTTTTTGCTCCGCTGGTCACTTGACTCCGTAGTAACTTTTTACATTTACTCAGTTACATTTACTTATGTAACTTTTTAATTAAAATGTACTTTTACGAGTAGTTTTACTTTTACTTCATTAACATTTTCAGGAAGTTCCAATAGTCTTTACTCTACCCACTGTGTGTGACTTTACAGAAAATTTTGAACTTAAAGGTATTGTGGAGGATTTTTGCAAATCTTTGAAAAGACCCTCCCTCTCCACTTAAATAAAAATTCACATGCACAACCCTGTACCCGCTCCCCAGAGGGAACGCCTATTAAAGGCATGTGAGAGCGTGCACAAGCTCATTTCTCCTCGTGCACGCTCTGTTTAAAAAGTTGCTGTTTGCATCACTCATACAAACTTACTTTCCAAAAGATTTGCAATTTTTCCACTATGTCAGACTCACCACCGGTAAATGGGGACGAACGCGTTACGGCGACGGCCTTACGTTAACACATCCCCAGAATGATTGACATTTAGGAGGACCACTTATTTTGATGATCCACCGGGAAAAAGAACATCCTCTACTATACCGTTAATATGAAAAAAGCTATCTATAGCTATTTAACTGTAGTTTTAATCAGCATAATTTGAATGAAAGGGGTTGGTGAGGCCCCATTGGTTTATTTACTGTGAGTGTAAATGTTTCAAAATACTTATTTTTTCTGGGCCACAATCTGACCTGCACAGTGTGGCACAGTGACACAACTAGTGTTTATTTCACATCTTCCTGGACGTGGTGAAAACTTCCAAACCAGTTCTACACAGAGCTGTTTACCTTTCCGTCATCTTTTTGTCAATAAACGACTTACTACAGAGTACAGCATTACAGCACTTGGTGTCAATTGGGATTAAAGTGGTGTTTTTTTCTACACCTGCTTCTTTTCTAGATCAAAGCAGACAGGTGTCTTTCCCAAGCCTGAGCGATCGTCAGAGAGCGCTTCGAAACTCAGACCCGCCTGACAGCTCCTCCCTACGGGACTGAGCTGCTAATCTGGCTTTCTTTCCCGTTAAAATATTTTTCACAGTCGGATGACTCCTGCCATCCCAGCTGCTCTCTATGTGAACAGATACCGCTGCGGCATCATTATTGGCCGGGATCGTGTTGCGTTTGTCTTTCCATCTCAGCACAGGTGCTCTCTCTTTTTCACTCTGTTTATTTGGTTGTATTCAATCTCCACAGAGAATGAAGGTGGATAAACAATGAGGAAATGTCTCATTAGCTTTTCTCTCTGGCTGCCACACCCTCTTTTCTTTACAGGAGGAAACACAAGCACAGGGGTTTGGAAAACTCGGGTCAGGAAGGTCTTGGTGTTTGACCTGTCAGCTTAGCATTCAGGTGATCCAACTAATGATCTCATTTATAGGGAACACAGGGCCTGACTAGGAGGCAAGGGAAAAGGCATTCATTTCATCTGGTCACAATACATGTTGCCTTTCTCCTAGTCTCAGAGCTCATTTAACTACTTTAAAGCAACAGGTTCAATAACAGTCAATCAAATGATCTCAGATGTGGTCCTAAAAGTGCTGTAGAGAGATATTCCACAAAGGTACGAGCAGTCATAGTTATCTTCATAGAAAAAAATTGGTTATATCTAATCTGGCTCATTAAATAAACCCATAAGTGTTTTAAAGTTGGGATTCCAGAACATTTCAGCCTGTGACCCAAAAAATAACAATGCAACAGACTGGAGACCCACTACCAGCAATTACAATTACTTTGCGCTATATCCATTTATGCATAAGTAGTAAAGAAATTACATTCTTCTTCAAATATATTTTTTTTTATAGAAATTTGATTATTATTATAACAACTCAATTTGAATTGCAATTTTGAATATAACATTTAATTATGTATTGTGCACTTTATAATGTCATTTTATTTTAAATTTTTAAATCATTTTATATTTTGATACAAGTTAATGTTAAATCTTTATAATTCATGGTACAGTCATTGTAAAATTGATTTCAAAGCCTGTTCCATGATGGAAAGTGGAGCCACCAGTGTAAACTGATCCCATTTAAGGTGTTCATAAGCAGGATCTCAGGGCGTGGCCGTGGTTAGGAGGTTTTTGATTGTGTGATTTTGGCTTCAAACTTGACTTATTGCAGAATTGTTAACATCTTCAAAACATGAAATTCAGCTCACGCTGGAGCAGCCTTAAGCCAGATGCAAAGGTGGCACAGTTTCACCAGGAAAAACACGACTCTTCAGGTGGGTAAACGCTTTCTGTCCCAAACAGAAGTGTTTAAATATTTTGGGAAAGTTTTCAGAAATGATTTCAGAAAGAGATGGATGGATGCTGACCTCACTCAACCTGACACAGACTATTTCCGTTTCTCTGGCCAAAAAGTCTGATTAATCCATAAAACAGTTTCTTCCCCACTGTGGCCACTGAACCTTTCCTCTATTACCCATCTGTGTACACATTTAAACAGCCGTCTTAATGTGCTTTGGAGACCTTGAAGTTAATAAATCACTATACTAGTACAGTCATTCACCATATTCGACGATTTCTGGGCTGGATCCACGGTTCTGGACTTCACTGGAGGCTCTACATGTCACACCTGGGCTGGGAAATTCCTTTGGATCCACGAGAAAGCAGAATGTGTTGCATAGGAAAGGGATTCCCTCCTTTTCCTCCTTTACAGACAATGCTATCACTGTTAAGCTCAAAGACGATTTGGACAACTGGACGGAGCTACAAGCCCTGAATTCTCAGCAGTCTTCTTACAAGTTTTTCTAAAAGCCCAAAAATAACATAATGTTGGAGGAAAAATGAAGCTAAGGCGGAAATTCAACTGAAGAAACTCTGATTACTTCCATTCAATATGACGCTGATCCGCCTCCAATGCAGCCAATCAGCTTCAAGCTACATTTCCTCGATGCCCAATCATCTTCCAGCACTCAACTTAAAAGCCACTCCAAATCATCTCTCGGCCTGCTCTTCAACAAGCGCAAGATCCGTCGCTCCTATGTCAGACTTTGATTCAGACAACCCACCTCCATCCCCTTCTCCACCATTGTAGTAAGCTCATCCGACTCCTCCTCGATGCTCCTTCAACCTCACCTCCAGTGTGTAGCCCCTCCAGTTTTTCATGGAGTTCCATGTCACTTAAAACAGTCCGGCAAAAGATCGCCATGTTGAGCCTGGTTCTGCCAGAGATTTCTTCTCAAAGGGGAGTTTTTTCTCTCCACAGTCGCTTCATGCTTGCTCTTCATGGACAGTTTATGCAAACCTTTTTCATTCAGTGACATCTAACTCAAACATCACCCTGTATACCAGCCTCTATGGATTAACCAAATTTCATCTATCTAAACTCCACCACCA